AGAGGGGATAGTGTAGAGTAGAGGACACTTCGTGTCGTATTACATGATGTAAAACTAGGGCTAGGACCTCGTGGTCAGAAAAAGAGTAAAGTTGAGTAAACACGGTCGAGACTATTACGACGACTCTTGCCTTGATTTGTTACAGGAGTTTGAGCCAAAACTGCCAAGGGATATTTTAAAACTGTCGAAGAACAAGTCATTCTACTTCAGAGCAAGGTTTGTAGCAATTTATAGTGCTTCTAAAACTAAAAAGTACCTTTTAAAGAATAGCACGATAGGCAATCGGCTTTTGTTTTAAGAATTAGCAAACGTTGAATTTACTTTTCCCGAAAATTCAAACTGGTGGCTCCTTCTAACTGATAGTAATTTATTTTTGAAATTCCAAAACAATTTCACAGCTGAATTTTGAGCGACTTTTAGTTACGGACTTCTGCTCCAACGATTTTTCTGAAATTCCTCTGGCATATTTATTATATCAATTAAAGCCGATACCAGAAATTTCGGTAAAAAATATAAGCAAATTTTTTTACTAGACGCGATTTTCGTTGAACAGTAGGGTCCTTTCAAGCGCTAATTTCTCAAGAAATATTTACCATCAATGAAATCGGAATATTTCGTGTTATTGCCGAATGATATCTCTTGTTCTTTGCAAAGTTTCGCAGCCATCGCGTTAAAAACCAAAAAGTTATGATGGAAAATTTGTCACAGCTAAATGCTCTTGTATTAATTACGGAGCCACCTTAAGAGCGAATGCACAGAAAAATCGAGCAAAATCGGCAAATCGTGGCCACAGCTCAAAACCTAACTTACCCTCATTTTCAGTCTGTAATAAGGTTTTAATGAGTTTATAACACTGCTGAGGTTTAAATTTCAAAATGCGGCCAAGTCTGGGAATTATTTAAGATTTTCGATTTCAACGGTCTGCGGGCCTAAAATTAGCCGCCGAACACGGCAATATAGCCTAGCGACAGAAATGAGCTGACTTTCATAAACGAGCGAATATATGGCAATCTTCCGCTTAAATCTCAAAAAGCAGATATCTAACAATTTCTGAACGGCACATTTTTTAGATTTAGAGCAAAAATATCGACGAACTAGCAGAATTTTGAAACGTAATTTGCATAATGCTAATAAATACAACAATTTACCGCTAAAACCAAAATTGAATTTTCTATATGGGGGAATTCTCCAAATCACCCCAAATCCCGCTTACTACCTAATGAGATATAGTACTTCAACATTATCTGAAAGTTAGTCTGGTGTTCTCGCGAACGCTTGTAAAATAGATTGATTATTTTGAGGTTATTTTGCCCCAAACAACCGCTAATTGACCCCAGGGTCAGTTGACACGTGCACGTCACCTTAGTTTTATGCATCGATTTGAGCTCGTTAAAAGGGCGAAACTAACAAGATTCTTTTAATATGTACCTGTTTCAATGAAATACACGCAATCTTCAAAAGGAGAGGCCGTTCAATGGGTAATGTCTGTTCTTGAGATCGTGTAGATTGCAGCATGGCGTCTGCGAGTGGACCTGAATCTAGGTCTGTTTACCCGTGACAACAGAATAACATCAAGAAATAATTCTCCCTCGAATCTTCGTAAGTGAATCAGCTTTGCAGTGCCTTACCTGAGATAAAAAGTGGGCCGAATAGCAAAACATTTCTAGCGCAATTTGGATCCTTTGTGGGACGCAGTGTATTGCTGAGCGAAAGGTGAGTAAACAAACGTAGAAAAGTACGTAACCTTTGATTGCGTGACCAGCCAGTAAACGATAGTCTCCAGCGAAAAATAGGATTCGCAAAAATCTTGCTGATGTATATTTAACAGTTTGTTACTATAAATTTACACCTGGTTTGTCTAAAACTTTAAACAATGCATATCTGTCCAAGAGTATAAGAATGTTTCGAAAGATCCACCCCTAAATAACTGTGGGCTACTCCTTTTTCCCCATCACCGACGTGCACTTCCTTCCCACTGTCTTTTGCATGAGGCTTGTATGCCTTTTTAACTGTTATCGACACTTAAAACTGGCCGTTTAAGGCCTGGTTTAAGAACTTGACTGACTTAAAAAACCGTCGCGAACATCCGCTATTATTGCTGGAGTTTGGAAGCTTTAAGCCCAAAATGATGGTGCAATCTCGAGAAATTTGCCCGGGTCTAATTATAAGACAGGGAACGGGTACTAAGAAAGGGACGGTCTCATTTAGCAACCCGTGGACAATCTGGGCATGCTTGCATTCTGTCGCAGGGGCAACCGTTAAGGCCAGGTACGCCGCCCCCACCCGAGAGGATTGCATGGCATCCACCATTTCAGTCGCTTTTTCCACATCATGACCTTCAATTATTATGAATTATAATGCGGGCCTTGATCGTTGCCACCTTACCAGAAGTCTAATCTTCGCACTGTTAGACCATGAGAATCTCTATTATTATTCCATAAATGCACCATTGACTTTTCCTTGCTCAGCTTCCGGTAAACCGATACTCCGAAGCAAAAATAGCTTTACAACGACTCTATCCAGGCCAGAACTCCTAATATCAACAAATATACCCCCCTCTAAAGAGAGCAAACGTTCCCCGAACTATTCACTTGACCCACCGCATCCCTTCGTTAAGAAAAACTCGGTTCACTGGACAAAACGCGCTCGTCAATATACCAAACTATAGCCGTTCATCCTACAACCAATCTCAGTTTCAGCAGGCGTGGCCACGTTTCCAGTTGCTGTAAGATTAATTCGACACCTGCAACAGACACTGTAAATTAAATAGAGTGTTTTCACTGACGTAGCCAGCATCTATGCAAATTTATTGGAACAAAAGAACGCGTTTGCATAAGAAAGGAGTTCAACTCCCACAGGGCTGGTTTGGCACACCAACATGGCCGCCGTTTCATTGTTTTGGGACACCAATATGGCCGCCGTGACGTCATGTGAAAACACTCTATAGCAGCCACAACGCCCTTCCTTGAAACCGTCAGGACGAGAAAGTTTATAAAAGACTTAACAGGTGTGCGCGGCGGTTTCCTTTTCTTCCTTCCCTCCCATTGTAGCACTCAAATTCTGACCCTGATCGTTCCTGAGCCGATAGGCACAAGGATACCAGTTTCTTGCAAAATATGCTGTGACATCCGTTTGCTCATGCCCCTTTCTGCCTTTAGCCGCTGATTAGGTTTGGTTCTGTGCTTTGAAATAACTTTAGGAACGAAACATGATACGTGAGGGGCGTGTCCGGCTAAGGGCAAGTGACTCTCGGTGGTGAAGACATATACTGAGCTTGTCAGTATTTCGTAGCCTGCACCACGTCGCGAAAATAGAACAAGCCAAAGAAAAATAAGACGCCTTTCTTTCCCCAGCCCCCACAGGTTTTTCGCATAACTTTTTACTGCACAACTGATTCTACCTTTTCGAGCCGGAGCTCGAAAATAGGACAAAAGGACACCTGGTCATACAGGAAAATGAATTTACTGTATCCCGAAAGCTTTGGTTTCCCGTGCACTTATTTTTCGCAGGAGACAATCGATAATTGCCTGGTCACGCAATCGGAGGTGAGTAACTAATTAAAAGTCACTGATACCATCGCCGCTTAGCACTACGTGCCGCAAAGGATCCAAATTGCGCTAGAATGTTTTTCTATTCGGCCCACTTTTTATCTCAGGTAAGGCACTGCAAAGCGGATTCATTTACGAAGGTTCGAGCGAGAATTATTTCATGATGTTATTCTGATTTCGCAGTCACGGGAAAACAGACCTAGATTCAGGTCCACTCGCAGACGCCATGGTACAATCTACAAGATCTCAAGAACAAACATTACCCATTGAACGGCCTCTCTTTTTAAAGATTGCGTGTATTTCGTTAAACAGGTACATATTAAAAGAATCTTGTTAGTTTCTCCCTTTTAACGAGCTCAAATCGATGCATAAAAAACTAAGGTGACGTGCACGTGTCAACTGACCCTGGGGTCAATTAGCGGTTGTTTGGGTGAAAATAACCTCAAAATAATCAATCTATTTTACAAGCGTTCGCGAGAACACCAGACTAACTTTCAGATAATGTTGAAGTACTATATCTCATTAGGTAGTAAGCGGGATTTGGGGTGATTTGGAGAATTCCCCTATATAGAAAATTCAATTTTGGTTTTAGTGGTAAATTGTTGTATTTATAAGCATTATGCAAATTACGTTTCAAAATTGTGCTCGTTCGTCGATATTTTATGCTCTAAATCTAAAAAAATGTGCTGTTTAGAAATTGTAAATATCTGCGTTTTGAGATTTAACCGGAAGATTGACAATATATTCGCTCGTTTATGAAAGTCAGTTCGTTTCTGTCGCTAGGCTATATTGCCGTGTTCGGCGGCTAATTTTAGGCCCGCGGACCGTTGAAATCGAAAATCTCAAATAATTCCCAAATTCGGCCGCATTTTGAAATTTAAACCTCAGCAGTGTTATAAACTCATTAAAACGTTATTACAGACTTAAAATGAGGGTAGGTTAGGTTTTGAGCTGTGGCCACGGTTTGCTCGATTTTTCTGTGCATTCGCTCTTAAGCATTAGCAAGATTAAGCAAGATTCTTAGTTTTAAGCTGTAAATATACGACTATTAGCTAAATGCAAGATCTCTCAAGCCTTTCCTTCATAAAGTTTAATTGTAACGATCCTCCTGTAAAGTTCAGTTCTAGGCGAAGTTGAGTTGAAAAGACGGAACACTATGCTTTTGCGCTCAAATCTTAAAAGGTATGGTGGCGCGGGCTCAAATGACAACTTCACCAATACGATGGCTGATCCATGGATACCCATGATATCGGCAAATTTTCTCGGAAATCACGAAAGTGTTTGCGCTTCACTGAAGTGTAAAAAATGTACCACTGTAAAAGCCGCGCTGTCATAGACCATATCTGTCGACCAATGGGCGCCCTAGAATTTCGACTGTTACTCAAAAGAAAGTCCAAGGTTCATTACAACAGTTCATTGCATTTCTGATCAAGTTACGCATAATATTGGACCATGGATGTGCGACAACTCTTCAGAGATCTTCAGAAAGAAGCAGAGTGTCCGCTGTGTTTAGAGACAGTCAACAATCCTAAGACTTTGCCATGTCTTCACTCATTTTGCCTCGAGTGTCTCGACAAACACGCAAACTTCGCAAGAAGACAGCTACAAGCGACAATCAAATGTCCCGTTTGTCAGACATCTTTTCAAATCCCCGAAGGAGACTCATTCAAAAACTTGCCCACATCTTATCATCTCAATCGATTGGTGGATGTTCTCGCTCTAAAAGATAGCGGCGCACAGGCCCAGAAATGCGGCAGTTGTGATGAGAACAACACTGCTTCCTCTTACTGTTTCGTCTGCCAGAGCTTTTTATGCAGTCCTTGTTTTGAAGCTCATCAACGCTTGAAGGCCACAAGAGGTCATCGTAATGTTGTGATAGAGAAATTGCAAGTGCAAGATGTTCAAGAGTTGATCCACAGAACAGTCATGTGTTCACAGCAATATCACGAAAACCAACCGCTTGAATTTTATTGCGAAGAATGCAAAGTTCCCATATGCCACAAGTGCAGTGTAGTTAGCCATAATCGGCACACTATGACAGACAGTGAGAAAGTCGCACAAGTACAAAAGATGCAAATGATAGACGCTTTGGAGAAAGTGGAAGCAGAAACCGTTGTTTACGAGAACGAAATAAGGAAACAAACCGAGTTGATGGATGACGACAGAAACGAAATTCTGTCCTGCGAAAAGAAGATGACAGATTTAGTGGAAGAACTGATTCGCGATTTGCGGGAATATGAGAAGGACATGAAAACCAAATTCTCTGAAATTTATGAAGCGCAACAAAAGCATCACGCAACACAACTAGAAAACTTTGAGTTGGTTCTGACTCAACTAAAAAGTTGCATTGAACGAGGTGATAGTATCGTACAAAGAAACATCAGTGCTGAAATTCTGCAGACAAACCAAGCTATTATTGGACGCTGTGAAGAGCTTCTGAAAGCCAAAAAACTTGAAATTTATAAACCTTCACACGTACATTATATGGTTGAACAAAAAGTAAAGATTTTGGATCGTATTGTTGTCAGTGACACAGATCCTTCGCTGTCGTTAGCTGAAGTGGCAAGGCTAAAAGATGTAAGAGCACAAACGGAAACAAATTTTACCATTGTAACCCGAAATTCAGATGGGGAACAGTGTTATCAGAAAGAGGATGTGATTAAAGTCAATATGTTAAATCCCGCAGGTGATCAACTGGCGAGTACACAGTAACATACACACCACAGTGTGTTGGACAACATAGAGTAGAGATCCAAGTTAATGAACAGCCACTAACTGGTAGTCCCTGGATTGTGCGGGTGATGCCGCATCAGTATCAATTTGCGTTTCAATTTGGATCAAAAGGGGAAGAGCAAGGAAAGTTTGACTGTCCTGTGGGTGTTGCTGTGAATGATAAAAGTAGAATTCTTGCTATTGCTGATTATAATAATAGCAGAACTCAGATATTTAGCTTTGAAGGGAATTTCCTCAGAGAGATTGCACTGAAGGGTAAGCCCATTTCGTTGGCTTTTACCGAGTCAGGTGACCTCCTTGTCCGTGTTATTTATGACAAAAGAGTTTTTCTCTTTGCTGAAAATGGTCAGTTTATCAGATACATTGGCGTCGAACATGTAAAGACACCGCACTTCGTATCTGTTTCCAGTGATGGTTGCATTATCACAAGTGACTCTAATGACAAGACAATCAAAGTTCTTACAGCTGATGGGAAAAAATTACTTCAGTCGTTCAAATCCTTAGATCGCAATGAAACCCCTGTCTGTGTCGTTTATCACCAGGCCAAATTCTTTGCTTCTTTTAATTTTGCTGGCCGTCTCGTGGTATTTAACAACGCAGGGGAGTATCTACATGACATCGGCAGCAAGGGATCTGGTGACGGGCAGTTCTCGGGTCCCACTGGTCTCGTTATTGACAAGTTGAACCGTCTGATCGTTTGCGATGCGGGAAACAGTAGATTGCAGCTTCTCACTCTTGAAGGAAAGTATATCGCTCAGATACCTGGAAGTTTTTTTAAGGGTGGCTATCCTCATTCTGCTGTCATCTCCAATACTGGACATTTGTTTGTTACTGATTCTTGGCGACACTGTGTGCATGTTTTCCATTAGCTCTGTAAGCGAGCCAATTTGTTTATGGAAGTGACATGAACCATTTAACATGCATTAAACAGTACCATTTGCCATGCTAGCAAATAATAACTACGATACATTGACTCGGTTTTTTATTTGAAAGACACGCTTCTTACGGACCTTACGAAAACCGTCTGCATGTCCTTTGCTGGAAAGAAAGGCAAGATCAAACAGCCATTTGACCCTGCGATCAGAAGTTTCTCTCTGGCAAGGCTTTTAGCTTTTACGAAGTTGTTCCTATCGTATGTCAGTCAAGTTGTTGGCTTTCACTTGTAGTGACGAAACTTCCGATAAAAAGTTAACGAATTGTAGCCCTTATTTTACTGCCTTACAATATATCAATAATCTTGAAACTAAAAGGTCATATAAATGAAAGGTTAATCTCAAATGTTTAATGTTAATCTTAAATGTTTTAAAAAATCTACCGAGCGGTTTAAAAATTATTCGCTAATTTGTTATAGAAGACCAACATGTTTACAAAACCGCAAAAAAGAGCGCTTCAATACATACTAATCAAATCCTTCTTTCTAGCAATCGGCTGGAGCTATCTCCATGATCTTTCAAACACGTTTTTAAAAAGACTGAAACTACTATGAGGTGAAATTGCATGTCAAAAGCGCTACGTTTTCTACAGATAACGGCCAAACATCAAGATTCTCCATTTTTAACTGTTTTTTTAGCCATAAAAACTTCATCCCCAAATATCTCGATAACGCTTTTAGAGATTTCGCTTAAACTTGACGAACATGGAGGCCGCTATTGGAGAAAAAAGCTGCCGTGAACGATTCTGGAAGAACAGTTCCCAGTGCCGAGATATATTGCTGTAAGTAAAATAGGTAATAGCGTCATTTCGTTGCTATGACAACTCCAATGTCATTGCAACCCAGATCATAACAAATTTTCACCTTTATCTAATACAACTGTGGTGGCAATTTTTCCTACTCTTTGTTTATGGCGACGTAGTTTATACTCAAGCTTGGGAGGTATTGACTCTGAAAAACTGTATCGAGCCACCTTAACGGCACTCGTAACTTTGTTATGGTACTCTATAAATTTGACACACACTATTTTTTTTTTAAGTCAACCATCTGTGAGAGTAAAGAAAGTGTCAAGCCGTTACGAACACTTTCATAATTTTACTCCGATATCCACTGGAAATATTTGTTGTTCTTCTTTTTTCTAAACGAGAGCTTTAAAGTGTAGATCCAAAGTAAACAAAGCGTCTTAGAACGGAATCACTTAAAACAAAACTTTTTTCTATCTCTTAAAAGATCTCTTAAACTTTGGAAAAAAACAGTAAGGATACGGGACCTACATGTGGGTCCCGTAAATTTACGCCCTATTTTTCCCGTAAAAAAGGTTTTATGCAACAGCCGCAATCTCTGTTGCATAAACGAAACGTAAGCGAACACTTACGAAAATCGTAAGTGCAGCAACGTAAGGGAATTCCCTAAAAAGTAGGTTGAGTTTAATCGTCCGGGTGAACGTAGTCCTGTATAGGACTGTTGTTGTTGACAGTGACTGACGTTTCTACAACCTGTGCGGTAGTCATCTTCAGAGTCAAAGTGAGTTGTATCACGTCAGTTGATGGTATTATTACTCTGGTTATTGATCTGATTGGTCAATTACGTCGCGATGTTATTGGTCGTCTGTCAGTTAAGCCGTGATGTTATTGGCTATGAAGACTCGTAATCAGTAATTGGTGCGTTTCGATCCGTCTATTGTTACAGTTAAACAGTCGTCTGTTGTTAGTCAAATTGTCAGTTCTCCAGTCGTTCTCGAGAACTGGAACGACTAGAGAAGAGTTAAAGTCAACATTAACTTAAAAACGTTGTGTTTTGGAGGTTGACTTGGCCTTTCACACTGTATAAAATTTCGAAATCTTTTAAGATGTTAGAAAGTTGTAAGGTGTTGTAACGTTCAGAGAGGGTGTGCCAGTGGCCAGTGGTTTTTACAGTTAAAAGATTCTTCAGGAGCAAAACATCCGTGAAAATCAGCTGAAATAGTGAGATCTCAAACAAACTATGATCATCCCTAAGGGTCTAGCTTCTATCTTCTCTGGCCAATCGAGTGATTGTATTTGACAATTGCTATTGTAGTTTGGTCCCAACTGCAATTGTACTCTCGTATTCAATAGTGAATCCAAGAGACGTGAAAACATTCTGTTTCTACGAGTCTAGCATAAAGTTAAACAAAGGAGTATAATCAGTCGTAATCTTTCGATGAGACTTTTCTGTTGTTATTTTCCAATCCTTTATTTAGGCATACTTTGAACATAATCCAAGAGACTTACAATAGTTGCGACATGACAAGGATCTACATCCCACCAAATTTCAGCCTCACTTGAAAAACGCTCCTGAATGCCTCGGTGAGTTATTGAACTTTAGCTAATTCCTACTTTAAGCACAAATAATTCTCAAAGGCCCATCAAAGACAAAACAAAAGTTCGCTTCTGTTAATCCTATCTTCATTTCTTTTCGATCAGTTCCAGCAACTCTTAAACCATCCAAGGCAAAATTCTCACTAAAGAGAAGACGCCTACTCATGTTCCCGTCAGTAAAGAACTCGGTTTACAATACATTTGGTGAGGTAAATGGGGAGTACTTAAAGCATATGTTAGTATATAAGTATATTTTAAATACTTTGGAAAAGGGATTCTTTATGAAAGTAACGCAACAAAAGGGAAATTGACTATTTCACCGATACCAGATAACGCACCTTGTTTATCCTCCCCATCCCCCACCCCCCCCCCCAAAAAAAGAAAAAAACCAAAGGGTTGCATGATCACCATAGTCTTCGATTTCTCTTGCGATCTGTAATATCCAAGAGAAATAAACCTTTTTAGCTGATATGTTTTGTTTTCCCGATTCAGACCACGTGAAGTTCTCCAGGGAATTTTCTTTTTGTCTTTTTCATTAATTATGCATGCACATGCACTTGAATGCACGTGCATAAGACGACATCTGAAAGAAACAGTTCTCTGGGGTACCATCACGTGGTCTGAAAGTGAAAACAAAAAATACAAACTAAAAAGGTCGATTGGAAAAATGGTTCTGTAAAATATTGTTGGGTAATCCAGGTGCATTATGGTCTCGGTAAAAATGGTGAATAGTAAAATAAATGTTTAGAACTTTTTAACCAGGTGGTGAGTTGAATGAGAAATGCTCATAAAAAAATCATCTCAAACTGGCAAGCCAGTCTGTAACATGTTTACAGACCCTCTATTTTCTCTTTATAGGTCATCAAGAACTGGTGTATGAAAATAAAAACAGCAAGGGTTTTATTGATCACAAGCATGATCGAATTTTCCAAAAAAAGGGAAAAACCTCTGTGAACAGGCTACCTTAGATTCACTCTGAAGATAAACGTACGCCTGTTTTAGTTACTTGAAACTGTCAGAGGAGTCTTTCAAATTACGCTATCGTGGTGACATCCTTATCGGACACCTCTCTTATACGGACACCCATTAGTGTCCGTATTAGAGAGATCCGACAGTACTCGGCGTCTTACATTTCAAGTATCCTGTTTTAATTGATTACTTGGAATCATAAACAATTTTTTATCTATTTTTTTGCCTCTCTTTTTGCCTCAGAAACGTAAATTGGATCCATTGAAGAGCTTCAAGTACCACAAACATAGCACAAGGGAAATAAGGTGTGACTATTTTTGCGCTTTCTCAATCACTTCGTCTTTCTATAATTTGAACCCAGGTTACAATTTCCCATTCATATTTTTTATCACACCACAGGGAATGCTTGTTTCATTGCTTTTCCGTGCATGTTGATGCAAATTCACTGGACTTCACAGAGAAATTATAGCGCTAAATTTATAACGCTAATCAGTCTCTCCGGAACCGTTACCTGGTAGAGCGGTTGCAGAGCGGGGTGCCTGACGTCACAGAGAAATCAGTAAATGGCTTAGCTCCATATGGAACTTTTCGTTGGTCTGTGGTTAGAGCACTGGGTATCTGGGTTATAATGGGTTTCATTGTCTTCCTTGGCCGTCATTGATAACAGCACTTAATGATAAGGAGATTCCCTGTTTTAAAAAAACAGTTTTTTATTTCTTTAGGGGTCGACCATTTGCCTTTTGTGAGGGGGAGGGGGGTATGAATGATCTTTTTTTGCATAAGAATTTTTTTTATCGCAAACCTCTTGAGACAGATAACGGTGTAAGATTTTTTCCAGCATTATACGTCATGAGTGATATTTTTTTTCAGTGCAGGATATATTTTCGCCAGGTATTTCCTTCCAAGATATTTTTCCCTCGAAATCCACCCTTGTGACACTCTTGTAACTCGGCATGGTTATTTTAGTTCAGCTGAGATGGTTCTGCAAAAAACCGGTTCCTTAAAGTTTGGTCAAGTAGAACGTCCATGTTTAAGACACTTTTTTTAAATTTTCATGTCTAGAGATATATGTAACCTGAGAAAACAGCCGACGTTAATGATTTCTCCGCGTGAGGAAAGAGCGCAGAAATGTCCCCACTGATGACGTGTCACTACCCTGGTATGGGTAGTGCTTCTGATTGGTTGATAATTGCCCTATCGAGATTCAAAGTAGTGGGACGTCATCAGTATAGGATTTGGGATTTGGACGCTTTTTCCTCAGACGTCATGTCGTGGTATCAAGAAATGTCGACTGTTTTTTCACGTGAGGAGATATTGCCTTCGAACAATCAATAGCACTACTGAGATTAAAGTGGTGGCACGTCATCAGTATGGGATTTAAGTGCTCGTTCCTCTGACGTCATTTCCTGGTGTCACGAAAAGTCAGGTGTTTTCTCACGCAAGGAGACATTTGGTTTTGATAAAACATTATTCAGCCTTTACCACCACAATCCAGTTTCAGAGAAGATAATAAAAACATAATCTAAACTAATCTAATGGTAGCTAAGTACAATCATGGATTAGAATTTCACTTCCGGATTTACATTGCTAATCAGTTTTTCAGGAACCAGGGGGCTGGTCTGCAGAGAGGGTCGTCACGCAACGCTCCTCCCCACTAATACCGTAAAATTCCAAAAATAAGCCCCTCCATGTATAAGCCCCTCCAAATATAAGCCCCTTAAACTCGTAGTGCAAAAAACTCTCCGTTAAATCGCCCCTCCGAATATAAGCCCTCGGGGGCTTCTACTTGAAAATACAAAGTAAAACAAAGTAATGCCGGTACAGTAACATACAAATTTGTATTTGCCAAAGAACTATTTCGTGTGCCAAATATAGTGTTAGTCTGATGTATTGTGTGTTAATCCGTAAGTAGAAAATAATACGTTCATTCATCAAGACCTGTTTATTTTATTTACCCAGGGACACAATAAAGGAAAGAAAACTTAATCAGTGGTTGGTATACGTCTCTTTTCTGTATGGGAACAGAACATCGATGGTCTGGTAGCCAATCATCACACAGATGAAAAAAAGGAACACGCGACGAAGTCCTAAGAACGTCTGCGTGGGGCGCTATGGTTTGGTGACCATCAAACGAGTCTCGTCCCAGTCTTTTGTCCCAGTCTTGCCCCTAAATGACCAAATGAAGTCATTCGATTAATATCAGCCACTTCCGACTCTCTGGCGAAAGACCTCAAATATGGGTGTGAAATTCAGTTAACACTTTTCACTGGTTGTTGATGCTACGGAAACTACTAATGGAAAAAACTGATTTGTCGACCTGTGTAGTTTTTTATCTATTTATAGTGAAACCTTGTACTCAAGAAAAAAACGCATAGAAATCTGCTATCGACGCAATCAGAATCAGGCTACCGTTGAAGGTTTATTACTTGTAATCAGTTTAAAGATTAATGGACGAGAAAAGCAGTTTAACTGGACATTGTTTGTATAATCATATGACGTTCTCAAACTGCAGAATTATAGCTGATAGTTACTAGTAGGAAAATGATAAGTCATTTTCTGTCTTATTTCTGTCGGCCATTAAGAAAAAAACAACGGCTTATAGCTGGTAAACCGTGCTATCAGATATTATGAGGTAAAAGTAAAGGGCCTGGTTTCAACTACGGGTGTCCAATTATTGAAATAAAATAAAAATGGCAAGAAAAATTCGGTCTGTTCATATTAGCCTTTCCTTTGGACAAAGAGATCGCTCCCATTAATCCCAACGTGTAAGCTGACAGCTGCTGAAGAGACGAGTATTTTGTAACACTGGCCTTTATTACATAAATTAAGGGGCTTACCTATTAACATTTAAAAAATCAGGTGGGTGCAAGATTGCGTGAGCAAGCTCTCCTTTGGAGGAGTCGCTAGAAGTCACGCGAGAAATCACACGAGAGCAGCACGCGAAAGGAGACGTGAGTGCGAGGGGTGGAGAAAGAAAGGAATTCTCCTTTTCCTGCTCCCCTATCGCTCGCACCTTCTCTTGCAACTCGCTTCGTTCGCCACTCGAAATGGAGAGTTAAAGTTTAAGCAAGAAGATTTAAGCAACGAAGTTTGAGCAAGATTCCTAATTTTTATGTGTAAAAATAAGACTATCAGCTAAATGCAAGATATGGAGGTTTGTTTGCAAATCGTTACAAATGTAGTTTTTTTTATAAATCACCGGGAACCCATAAATCACAAGCGCCTTTCCTTTAACGTTTAACGATCCACCGTTAAAGTTCAGTTCCAGCCGGTAGTTGAGTTGAAAAGCCGGAATACTATGCTCAAATCCTCAAAGGTTTAGTGACACTCAAATGACAACTTCACCAATACGATGACGATCTATCTATCCAGAGCCTTGGTAGACTGTTCACAGTCCCCTATCTTTTTCGTGAGATCGTTTGGATATAGCGCGTCTTACTGTCAATGACGGCCATCTTGGTTTTCAAATGTACCGAGGGGGCGCGCGTCGGGGTTTATAGCTGTAGTTTTGACACTCACGCAAGATAGAAGCCCGTAACGCAAAGCGCTAGATCTCGTCGATCTTACGGAAAAATAGAGGACTGTGAACAGTCTAGAGCCTTGGATATCCATGATTCCGGCAAACTTTCTCGGAAAATCACGCACATCATTACGCTTCACCTACGTGTAAAAAAGGTACCACTACAGTCATTGTCATAGCCAATACCTGTCGACCAATGGGCGCGCTAGAATTTCGACTGATACATAAAAATAGAAAGTCCAAGGTCCATGACAGTTCATTTCTGATCAAGTTACGCATAATCATCCCACCCATATTGGGCAGACCATGGATGTGCAACAACTCTTCAGAAATCTTCAGAAAGAAGCAGAGTGTCCGTTGTGTTTAGAGACAGTTAACAATCCCAAGACTTTGCCATGTCTTCACTCATTCTGCCTCGAGTGTCTCGACAAACATGCGGGCTTCGCCAGAAGGCAGCTGCAAGCGACGATCAAATGTCCGGTTTGTCAGACATCTTTTCAAATCCCCGAAGGCGACTCGTTCAAGAACTTGCCCACTTCTTATCATCTCAACCAACTGGTGGATGTTCTGGCTCTTAAAGATAGCGGCGCACAGGCCCAAAAATGTGGCAGTTGTGATGAGAACAACACCGCTTCTTCTTACTGTTTCGTGTGCCAGAACTTTCTATGCACTCCTTGTTTTGAAGCTCACCAACGCTTGAAGGCCACAAGGGGTCATCGTAATGTTGTGATAGAGAAATTGCAAGCACAAGATGTGGAAGATTTGATCAACAGACCCGTCATGTGTTCACAGCAATATCACGAAAATCAACCGCTGGAATTTTATTGCGAAGAATGCAAAGTTCCTATTTGCCACAAATGCAGTGTAGTAAGCCATAATCGACACACCATGACAGACACTCAGAAAGCCGCACAAGTACAGAGGATGCAAATGAAGGACGCTTTGGAGAAAGTAAAAGCGGAAACCGTTGTTTACGAGAAAAAAGTACGGCAGCAAACCGAGTTAATGGATAAGAACAAGAAAGAAATTATGTGGTGCGAAAAGAAGATGACAGATTTAGTGGAAGATTTGATTCGCGATTTGCGGGAACATGAGAGGGTCATGAAAACCAAATTTGCTGAAATTTATGAAGCGCAACAAAAACATCACGCAACACAACTAGAAAACTTTGAGTTGGTTTTGACTCAACTGAAAAGTTGCGTTGAACGAGGTGAGAGTATCGTACAAAGAAACATCAGTGCTGAAATTCTCCAAACAAACCAAGCTATTATTAAACGCTGTGAAGAACTTCTAAAAGCCGAAAAACCTGAAATTTCTAAACCGCCACAAGTGCATTACATAGTGGAACAGAAAGTGAAGATTTTAGACCGTATTTTTGTCAGTGACACAGATCCTTCGCAGTCGTTGGCTAAAGTGGCAAGTCTAAAAGATATAAGGGAGAAAACGGAAACAAATTTTACCATTGTAACCCTAAATTCGGATGGTGAACAGTGTTATTATGAAGAGGATGTGGTTAAAGTCAACATATTAAGTTCCGCAGGTGTTCAAGTGGAAACAGAGATAAAAGACACCAAAGACAGCAAGTACACAGTAACATACACACCACAGTGTGTTGGACAACATAGAGTAGAGATCCAAGTTAATGGACAGCCGCTGACTGGTAGTCCCTGGGTTGTGCAGGTAATTCCGCATCAGTATCAATTTGCGTTTCAATTTGGATTAAAAGGAAAAGAGCAAGGACAGTTTGACGAGCCTTGTGGTATTGCTGTGAATGATAAAAGCAGGACACTTGCTGTTGCTGATTCAAACAATGAGAGAGTTCTGATGTTTGGCTTTGAAGGGAATTTCCTTAGAGAGTTTGCACTGAAGGGTGGCCCTCGTTCGTTGGCTTTTACCGAGTCAGGTGACCTCCTTGCAATTGTTGGTACAAGAATCACCAAGAAAATTTTACTCTTTACCGAAAATGGTCAGTTTATCAGATACATTGGCGGTGAACATGTAAAGTCACCGTACCACGTATCTGTTATCAGTGATGGTCGCATTGTCACAAGTGACTTTAAAGACGATAGAATCAAAGTTCTTACAGCTGATGGGAAAGATTTACTTCAGTCCTTCAAAGCCCCGGGTTGTAAGGAAACCCCAGACTGTGTCATTTATCACAAAGACCAATTCTTTGCTTCTTTTTCTTTTGCTTGTCTTGTCAAGGTATTTAACAACGCAGGAGAGTGTCTACATGGCATTGGCAGCTTCGGAACTGGTGACGGGCAGTTCTCGAGTCCCATTGGTCTCGCTATTGACAAGTTTAACCGTCTGATCGTTTGCGATGGGGGAAACAGAAGACTGGAACTTTTCACTCTTGATGGAAAGTATATCACTCAGATAGCGGGAAGTTTTTTTGAGGGTGGCGACCCTCATTCTGCTGTCATCTCCAATACTGGGTATTTGTTTGTTACTGATACTAGTCGACAATGTGTTCATGTTTTCCATTAGCTCTGAGAGCCACCGGTTCTGTGAACTGATATGGTATATTTTAGTGCTATAAACCATTTAAGATAATTAAACAGTACCATTTGATATGCTAGCAAATAATACTGACTACGATACATTGTCTCGGTTTTGTTACTTGAAAGACACGCTTCTTATTTACAGACCTTACGAAAAACGTCTTTCTGTTGAAAGAAAGGCCATTACCCTGCGAGCAGAGGTTTCTCTCTTGTATGGCTTTTAGCGCTTTACAAAGTCGTTCCCATCGTATGTCAGTCAAATAGTTGGTTTGTTTTAAATGGCCCAGGAGTATAATACAAACGAACAACGCGACTGACAGCGACGCGAACGACTTCATAAACGCTAAACCCCAAAAGAGAAGCTTTAGGGTGGAATTTAAAGAGCCATAAGTTCACAAGTACAACGTTCGGTTATCGCAAGGTAGCGATGATTTGTTTTTTTCTGACTTTTACAAACATACAAACAGTTATATTTTATTAGAGGGGAACTCTTTCATTCATTATTTAGAGCCGAGCTTAGCTTCTTGCTTTCTGTGAATACATAATTATGACTGTTTTCTAGATATGGTACTTTGTAGTCTTGTGCTTTCACTCAACCGCAACAGAGAGAGAGAGAGCAATCGAATAGTTATACGCTCAACTCCATCGGAGGTGGACACGAAAGTTGTCTGCTCTATATAGAGAGTATCAAAGATAAATGACCGAAAAACGACCGTGGTCAACTCTTTTAAGAGTTGAACACTTAAAAGTGTCTATTTTAGCGAGATGTCCGTCTATTTTAGACACAGGTTAAGAAAGAGATTGCACATCGCCTATTATACATCTGGCAATAGCTTGCTTCTAGAAATCATTAATATTAGTTTTGTGTATCATAATTATAGAATGAGTGATTTTTTTTTCGCGTAGTTGGATGCATGTTTGCTTAAAATGCGGTTGAACATGATGTGAGTAGGTTATTAACTTAATGAGGTGGCGACTTGCCTACTTCCCCAGGGGCCCGGTTGCATAAAACCTGCACTCATGAGTGCTCACCTACGTAGGTCACTTACGAATCCGTTAAGGGTACACTTACGGGTGTTGCATGGAACGCACTAAGCACTCTCCTAATTTTCTGTTTTACGTGGTTACTTACAGGTTCACTTAAGGGCACAAGTAATTTTGTTACAGTACTTTATTAATTTGACTCACTTAATTTTTTTGTTAAGTTAACCATTGGTGAGTATAAAGAAAGTGCCAAGAAAGAAAAACTTTATTCACTCCTCAGTAAAAGTTCTCGTTAACGTTGGTAAAATTTATTTTATTTTACTTTAAACAAGATACTGTTTACCCGTAATTGTTACAGGCGTTTTATGCAACCGCACCCAGGTTCCCTCGCCACAATTTCCAACTCCTTGGAGTGCAGGAGAGACCCTGGTATTACCTTACCTCGTTTAGCATATTTTATGAACAATATGCAAATAAATTAACTACTGACTGCCACTGCTATGCAACTTTTAAAGAAGCACTTCAGATGAACAAATATATTTTGTTAAATGTTTGACAGACTTAAGCGTTTTTACCTAGGATAAAGATATACTTTATTTTAGACGGTTATGCAGTTTAAATAATTACTGCAGGATTAGCATTAAAAAGAGGTTACGATTGCCTTTTGACGAATAATTTGAAGCAAATTAACCGTCTTTGCGTTGCACTGCTTATTGCCAATCACTTCAGATAAAGACTGGTTTGTTGGCTAGGTGAGGGGTGGGGGTCTAAATGGTTTGGAGAGAGGAGTAGTGTTTGATTTACCCCTAATGGAAGCGATCGGTGACTTATGCGTTATTGGTGGGACCATAATTACACATGTAGGAGGGTCAAATGGGGTGAAAATGGGATGGGACCTGTTCAGCATTCGCTAACAACAGCAACCCCATTTAAATCTCAGAAAAGGGTAGAAATGCTGCCGTGGGCGAGAAATAGTGAAGCCGTGGGAAAATAAGTGAGACGTTTTTAGCAGAAGGTGATATGAGCCTAAGAGGGCTATCCAAAATCTTTGGCAGTGATGACCTAAATTATCTTCCTTTTGAGTATCGCATTTAAGGTGACTAACTTAATTATGAGCCAGTTTTAGTATTTTTCTAACGTGCTCGCATCACGTCAGAAGTGGCCAGATAATTCTACATAAGTTCAGTCATTCTCGCTTTCAACTGAATGACTGAAATTTATTTTGAATCTTTGATTTGGCGATACGAGCAAATTTTCTAACTATGGTGTTCAGTCTTTCTGTTGGCACGAGAATCGAGCGACTTCCACGAAACTTAAAATTCTTGAGTTTAAGACTGTTTATTTCATCTGCCAAGTTTAAGAAAATTTGTTCGATCGTGATCTGCGCTACAAGATAGGTTGAGAAACGACAATGAAAACACAACATTAACTTCGCCAACCATGTCACGAATCAAACACCAATTTAAACAATTTTGGAGGGCAATTATGTTCAATTTTTGATAAACATGATACATAAAGTTGGGGCTCGTAGCCGTAATGCTGCTTGTCTGATTCCCTCTTAGAATCTTAAAACAGAAAGGAATTTGCTTGGAAAATAATAAAGGCTGCGGCTATATGGCTCGTAACAGGTCAAGATTTTCAAAACACTAAATGACCGGCAGTTCGATATGTTTTCAATAATTTTGACAAATCGAAAAATCCTTGCCAGACCAAACTATCATTCGTCGACTTAGAATAGACTGAGAGACTTAGTTTCTGATCAACAAATGTTGTCAAAGTGTAGGTCTCTTCAATTTTAGAGGAAAAAAATTCAGTCAAATATGAGCGGATTCGATCCCGGAGCATAGGGTCTGCATACCACTACTCTAACTACTACACCACCGTGGTTTCGCTGCAAGTTAGTGATTTTATTCAAATATTATAGCGTAAACCCCAACCCAAAATAGAAGCTAACCATTAACCCTAATCACTATTCTCAGGGCTTAACCCTAATCAGTATGGTTAGTATTTTCAGTGCTTAACCCTAATCACTATAGTCAAAATATCGGACTTAGAAAATATTGCATTTTGTGAAAATATGATTGAGAGATATCATAAACGGCTGCTTACTCCAGTGATGCTATTTCTTTGTCCATATGCTACGCTATTTTGCTGGTCTCAGCGTGGTCTGTTTACCAAAAACCAAACTATGGACGATTATGTCAGCAGTCATTTTATGTGAAATAGTCGTATTACATTGTTACCTTTGAGAGTTAACTAGAATTCGCTTGTATTCTTTTTTGAACTTGACAGATATCAGGCATAGATTTTTAATAGGCTCGATTTCCACCGAGGAGTCGCTGGTAATAAAGCCTAAGATTTTAACCGCGTGCGAGTATGAAATAGAATACCTTACAGACAGTTCTAATTTTATGTCGTATTCTGTGTGAGCTGTTATTAATGCATCCTACTTGTCAGCTAGCGGTTAATATCTGAAGTTTTCTCGATGTCTAGTTGATGGGATTGTAGGACTGATTCAGGTTTTAGGAGACATCAACTTGTTGTGCACAGTGAAGTTGTATTGTGCAAACTCTATAGCCTGTAAGGTGGGAGGGGAGAGGAAGAAGAGCGCGAAAAGGAAAACGGGACCCCCTTCCCCAATCCCCTCTCTTTCTCCCTTTTGTCCCTATTCCCTTTCCTCTTTCAACGCTCGCTACGCTGCTTGAACCCTATTAGCAGGCACGGATGCCATTGAGTTTCACACTGTTATTTGTCGATCTGGAATAAAATAAACCTGTATAATGGCGGACATATCTATTAATCGGGTACTAGCGACAAAATATTTTCTCTTGCAAATTCAAACGCTGTTGATAGTGATTTTGGTCCGAATCACAAATTAGAACTCAGCTTTATTGCAGTTTATCTAAGTGTACAGGTAGCCTGTGCCAAATCAATCGTGTGAAACATTTGTTTGATAGGTCTACGCTCCTAACTATCATAAATTCATTAGTGTTCAGCAAGCTTTCCACTTGTTCGTCCATGTGGTCTAGTACAACAAAAAACAACATTGCTAGGCTTCAAAAAGTTCGGAATTTTGCGGCACGGATAGTGACTGTTGCAAGAAAGTATGAGCACAACACGCTGATGTTAAAGGAACTCCACTGGTTGCCGGTTGCTAAGCAACTGGAGGTTAGAGACATTTTAATGGCTTTCAAATGTATAAAGGGATTAGCCCCACCATCCTTGTGTAATAAGTTTTCGACAAGAAGCCAGGTGCATACTAGAAATACTAGGAATAAAGATAAACTTCATATACCATCTTTTAGATCAGCAACAGGTCAGCGATCTTTCTCATATAGGGCTGTTCAGCTCTGGAATGACCTTCCAGAAAGTTTAGCAAACATAGAGTCATTTAATGTTTTTAAGAACGCGATTAAAGGACGTGCACTTAACGAGTTTTTAAGCCATTGACACTCAATAGGTGTAATTATGCATATTTTATATTTTTAAATAATATGGTAATGTTTTATCACTTTCAAATGTTTATTTTAGATTTCTATTGTTCATATTAGATTTTATTGTAATTGGTATGTGAAAACCCATTTTAATTGGATGTACCAATAAAGTTGATTGATTGACTCATTTATTACATTGTATAACTAACCCTTATTTATTTATCTATTTATTTATTTGTGTCGTGTGCATGACGCGCTAAGAGCAGTGACAAAATCAGCAGGTTAGTGACGGATAGAATAATATACTATTACACAAAATACACGATAAATGTTCCCGTCAATGTAGTCTTCTGTTGGGTCCATACATTTTGATTGAACGTATCTTCATAAAGTAGAAGTCAGGTATGAACTCAAGACATCTCCAACTATGAATTTCTGCATTGTTTCCCTCCCGCAGTAAAAGAAGCAAGACTCAAGGAAATCTAGTCAGAAATATTAAATTCAGAGAAACTCAAGGCAAACTATTCTCTTTTAACTTTTATCAGGGAAAACAACAATTGCTAGGTCA